AGACTGAAAATATGATATGTAGATACATATCAGTTAAAATTACGTAACTTGATACTGAAATAAACTTTTATTAATCCCCTTACCTTATATTTTATAAAATATATCCAATATCTTTTCCAGGGTCTTCCCCAATTCCTTGGACATATATTCTCATAGTCATCTATTTTTACTTAAGCTTTATACTTGTATAATTATTAATAATATCATACACAATTATTTGTAATTATATGCACACTTTAAGGTACACATACAGTTGTTGCGTTTCCACAGGCATGGGAATTTTACTCAGTTAGCTCTACTAAGGAGATATTAATGAAGACAATATTTGAAAACATGTGATTAAGAGAACCATCAAGTTAAATCATCCAGAATCTAGCAACAGCAGAAAGCCTATGTCATCTCTAGGATATAAAGCAAGGGAAGAAAGCATGTCTAGGGCCCAGTAAGCTGCAGCTATAGAGAAGAAACCACATGTCAAGAGCTGCAAAGACTTCTAGGAAGATGGTGGAGTGGTAGGCAGCAGCAAGTCAACCTCTCCAAGGTTTGAAGTCCAGACACAACTCGGGGGATAAAAGAAGGGGAGAGATGGATCCCTGGGACCCAGGAAAGATCTGAAAGGAAAATTGGAGCCCACAGAGAAAGTTAAGAGACAAACCTCAATGCAGAAAAAGGAGGGTGCAATCAGCACTTTTTCCCTGGCTCTGGGCTTGTGGGGTGAGAAAGGAAGATCAAATATACAGAGACACATTGTGGATGGGCGAGGCCTCCAGAGAGAAACACACCAAGGTAGCAAAGCAATGGATGCTGGGTGACTGCAAAAGCTGGTGAGTGACTCCAGTCCAAGTGACTTCTGTGTCCCCTGGAGAGAGAGTGCTTTTTCCAGTTGACATTTTATGGAGGGGCCAACTGAACCTGGGACTCAGAACAGCATGGGGAAGAGCATGGGTTGGCTTCATCTCAGGGCTTCCAGTTTTGAAACCCCACAGTGATTGGGTGAAGGACAACCAGGGGAGATATCCAGGATCAGGAAGCTATGGACAGGACAGCAAGAGACACCCAGAGTGTTGTAGGCTAAATAATTCACGCCCCAACCCAATAACCACAGGTCAGGATCAGCCTAAACTTCTATAGATTTGAAAGCACCAGAACTAGCACCCTGCTAACCCTATTACAGGTTTGTAGGAATATACAGCACTGATATGGGCTTTGACTACCTTCCTTGTCTACTATGAACAGAATCATGGCCTAAATTGGACACAACCACTAAACTGTAGATCCCAGAAGATAACCATAGGCTTGAAATCACAGAGAAAAATTTTTGGTTTTTTTCTTTTTTTGTTTTAATCGTTTTTGTTTTTTCATGAGTGTGATCATTATTTTCAGCTTTCTAATGTCCTTCTTTCTTTCCCTCTTATATTCTTCACCAGCTGCCCCAAGGCCTAGGAAATCTCTCTTTGTCCTTCAGCTTTGCTTCTTATCTCTTTCTCTTCTTTTATTCATCTATTTTTTCCCTCTAGTCCTTTATAAATTTTCCCCCTTAGACTAAAATTGCTCTATTGAGTGGATATTTACTGTGTATAACTATCTGATTTATTTTAGATCTTGTTATATAACTATAAATCTTATACCTACAGTTAAATTTAGTAAATCAATAGTTATCACAGTTTGTCATTCTCTAGTCTGTACTTGATGCCATTGTTATTACTGATTGTACTAGCCAAGGTGACAGAGTTGTGGTCAAATGATCTTCCTTGCATGCCAATACCTAGACTGCCTGGGGGTCATAAACAATACTATAGCCCAGGACCAAAGAACTAGTGCTAGGCCAAACAGGCAGCAATCTTTCATCTCTAATAAGTTGTGACAGACTGAAAAGCCAAAAGCCAGTTATGTCTAGAAAACATCTCTGAAAAGTAGCAATTTCCTAAAGAGGTTTTGATACTAGCAATAAAGCTTACTACCATAACCAATTTACAAGCCTCAGGGCAGAAAATGAATAAATAACAACAAAAAGAAAATGAGAAAACACAGAGGCAGGATACAACCCAACATTACCAACTCACCCAATGCAAATCAAGGGAGCATTGAGATGGAAGAAATAAAAAAACTCCCAGCTGAATTTTATGAAATGGAGACAGCAGAAGTAACATAACAGATCAATAAGTCTCTCAACAAAAACAAAACAGAAATAATTAAAGAGATGACAACCATAAAATTCATGCTTTTATAAGCTCTCTCCTTGATTAGATCTCAGACTTGGGCTGCTGGGTCCTTCCCACCAGAGTCAATTTTAGCAAGAACACTGTAAAGACAGTTTCGAGAGGATACCCCTATACTGCCTTGGATATTTGATTACCTTCAATATCTAATCAAATTCCTCACGCCCACCATCTCTCAGATGATGTCTGATCATTCTGGCCTACTTTAAGCAAGAATTCTTATAGGTCAGGTTAGCAAGAATTCTCTTTATCCCTGGTGCCTCTGTTCAGTAATTTTCTATCCACTGACTGCCCCTATATTTGCTCCTTAGTTATAACCCCCCACTTGTCCTTCCTGTATCTGGAGTTGAATTCAGTTCTATTATAAGATATTTTTGCTTGTTATTTCAATAGTTCCTGGATTAAAAAAAAAAACCTTAACCTTTTACTTATTGTCTCTGGTTTTCCATAAGTTTTATTTGCCACCATATTGCTTTGTGGTGATGTCAGTTCAGGTACACTTTTACCTAGAAACTAAATTATAAAATTTGTTTCTGCCAGTATATGTATGCACAGTAACAGGAGAGAAAAAAGGGAAGAAAAGAAATAAATCAATTCACATTTCATATGCAGAGATAGCATGGTTCTTGCTTCCATAGTTTCTTGCAAGGTTAAAATTGATAATCATAGTTTCCTATTCATTCACTCATATTTTTCTTGCCTTCTACCAGAACCTTGGTAGACAAAGATTTTTTAACATGGAGTGATGAGGTTTTATGCCTTGTATCTAGTTGCCCCCCCAAAGCCTCATGTGCTCATGGGTGATGGATAGATGATTCTGTGTCATAGTATGTGATACTGGAGATTGAAGGTGTAAGAGAACTACTTTGGATTAGCACAGATATGGGTTTGGATAATGAAAGTCCCATACTGGGTGTGGATGGCACCAACCAAAAGGCTTGCAGCCTGGATGGGATAAAAGGGAAAGGGAGGCCTGCTGCTGCTGCTTGTTGCTTCCCGCCTGCTCTGTCATGGAATCATTTTTCTCTGCAATGCCCCTCTGCCATGCCACTCTGCCTAGGAGCAAGCTGATTACTCACTGAAACCTCTACAAACTATGAGACAAAATAAATAATTTCTCCTTAAAATTGTGGGTGCCAGGTACTGTGTCTTAGCAATGAGAAAAATAACTAAAATGTGATGCAGCACTAATTTTGCATGATCTGAAATTTAAGAAGTCTAGAATTTAGTGAGTTACTTAATGACCATTATTAATAGGTGCCCAGTGAATATCTGGGTATCACAGACAGTTCTCTCCTTGGTCTCACTGTATCGATGCAACCCAATATACTTTTGGTAATTGGGACGAATCATCTCAATTTCATTGCTATAAGAACTAAAATGATTGGATGGCAATTTCAGCTTCCAATGCAGTAGAACTATGCTGGGCCTGCCAGTGGAACCATTTCTTACTTTTGAACTAAGACTTCCACACATGACAAACTAAAAGTCATAGAAATGATGTTCTGAATACTTTCTATTTTTCCCTCCATTCATTGTGCCTATGAGGCTGACCACTGCAGTGACTTGGCTCCCTTGTCTTCTGCTTCCTGGTGACTTCAGCCCATGGAAGACCCCAGCAGTACATCAGAGTATGGGAGGAAAGAAAGGTGGATATTTCTGCTTCACTCTGTCTTTGGTTTGGGCTGAAGTCCTGGCAGTGACTATAAATACAGAATTTCACCCAGCTCTACCAAATGTTGGCACTGACCATTTTCCTCTACTGGCTCCTTGGGAGTACCCACTCCTATAGCCACAGCTAAGGTTGTCTTCTGGTTTTAGTAACTGCTCCTTGTCCCTCTGGCCTAGAGTTAGTAACAGCTCCCAATCGCTCTATTACTGTTAATCAAATACTGTATGCCAGACACTGGGCTGTGTCTAAATATATTATCTCATTTAGGCCTCACAGTCCCCCACGTAAGATGGCTTCTTTCCTTTAGTAGAGGAGATAAAGTGACAGGGTGACACTGATAGAGCTGAAATGGAATCTAAGTGTTGGATAGTCGGTGTACTCAAACGCTACGCCATGACTTCATACACTACTCCGTACTTCATGGACCCGTCTTTGACCTCCTTTGAAACGGTCCAGCTCCATGTGGCTTTGCTCCTGGCAACACACATGCTCCCACAACTGGAAATGGGGATGCGGATGCAACTTCTCCATTCAGTCATTCAACAAAAATTGTTTGGAATATGGGATGCAAGGTCCAGGATACGGAGGGCTGGGGCTGACAGCAAGACAAGCCTAGGCAGTCTATGCAGTGCTCATTCATATACTGAGCCTGAAAGAAGTTAGAAATATTTTCCACTGATGCGGTGTCAGCCACATCTGGTGACAGCCATTTGGTGACTAAGGACAGAATGCAATAGTTCCTCAAGTATTCTCTCAAATTGATTTTCTCAAGATAGAAATTGCTGGCAGGAGTGAAAAGAAATGGGCATTCCTCAGCGTCCAGGGTCTATTCAAAAGAGAATAATTCTGGTCAAGTCTGTTCTTTGCTTCCTGTCTTACGTTTTTGCCACTTTATTGGTGGCACTTTTACAGCAGAGGAGACAGAGGAGTTTAGTTTAGATTTCCATTAGGCCTCTCCTCAAAATCGCATCCCTGAATCCTTGCAGTTTTGAATTTGCCGCTTTGATCTGCCCCTCCTACCACAGGGCGCCAGGAAGCGAGGACACCAGGCCTTTATTGGAGATTCGGAATCGTTAAGGCAGCTGACAGCAGAGCTGATTGGCTGACGATCCTAACAACTGTCACGGCCAGCCAACCCCGAGGCTCTGGGGGAAAGCCCGGGTCTCTGTGGCGATCCCAGGAAACCTGGGTTTGGAGGCCTTGGCACCTCTATCACTAAGTTCTCCAGTCCTTGGGTGAGTGAGCGCCTGTGGCTGGTGGGTGGGGACAGAGGGGGGTGCAGCGCTGACGCTGGCGCGAGACCGCCAGCAGGGCTCTAGAGGCCCGCTCCCATGGCCTCCGGTGCTGGCAGTTGCTGTCAACCTCCTTTCCAAAGAGCCCGTTCTGGCCACAGGGACTCGTGGCCGCTATCGTTATCATTGTTACGGAGTTGGGAAAAGTCGACCCATCAAAAATCAGCACCCCACTAGGGGGAATACCCAAAATTACAGTAACTGGGTCCAGAGTAAGGGTGTGGGGACAGTTATGGAAAAATCTCCCAGAAGCCTGTGCAGGAGGAAATAGCCGCAAAGGTTTATTGGACATGACTGTGATTAGGTAATGAAACATAAATGCAGGTAATGTGTTATTTGATCGAGAAATAACACACTAGATAACAAAAGTCATGGAAGCAATCAATCTCCCCCTGCCCCCCCAGTTTCCCAAAGGTGTCTGGAAGTTGTAGAACCAACTCTTCTGAGAAATACACTTTCCATAGTAATCTGTAGCAAACCTGAGGCAGAGCTGCAGCATTCCAGACCTCTTCCAAGGTCTCACAAGCAAACAAAGGAAAAAAATGAAGGCAGAACACACACAAATCAGCATTCTCAGCTCTGAGACACACTGATTTTTTTTTTTATAGATATAGCAACATATTTGTTATCTGTGATATAATATGTTGGATTTTATTTTATTTTATTTTTTTGTACAGGGGATCAAACTTGGGCCCTTGCACTTGCAAGGCAGGCAGCAGAACCACTGAGCTAAATCCCCAGCCCATGTGTTGCATTTTTGACAGACTTGCCTTACACAAGAGTGAAATCAGTTTCTCCTACTGCAGAGTCATTCTTGCTCATTTTTTGATAAATATTTTGTGCATGGAAGAAAGCTGAGAGTTCTGAACACCCTAAGGAATAATCCCAGGTTTGGGGAAATGGCTTTGTTAGTTAGGAAAGGAGAGGTTGAAAATAGTAAACTCCACCAAGGGTAAAGTTTACAAGGTGTGGTATACTCATTTTCAGGTGAGGTCTTCCACAGGGAAGCTTTTCTGCTTGACTTTGGCCTTTAATCCTTACACCAGGGAGTGACCTCCAACACATCCAAACTACAGTTCAAGCGAGCAAGGCCCAGAAAAAGGTAAGTCTAGATTTAAACTTTGCAGTGTTTCTCTTCTGTAGATATCTGACATGAGGACTATCCCTCCACTTGAGGGGAGGTCTCACCACTTGACAAACAGGAGCCTCTAAGAGAAAGATCTTTAATATTATAGCATGTGTTCTTGGAGACAAGAGGACATCTCTTTCCCTTTATAAACATTTGTAGCAGATATAGAGTTCAATCAAACACTCATATGTAAAAGACAAACAAGGAATGGCAAGTTACCTGAGCTAAAGTTTTTCTTGTATCACTCCTGTTTTGGGCAAATATTTGTGAAAAATAGACACTATGGAGATTGTCAAGATGGATAATATATTGCTCCTGTCTGCAGACAAGTTCTGGTCTGCTGTTGGAGAGAATTTTTTTTCCTCATTGAGTTTATTGGTACATTTTAGGTATACAGTACAGTTACATTCATTATTGGGGTCTTGTACCTTTACATGACAGGTCTTGGTTCTCATTTTTTCCCCTTGTCCCTGCCCTCCCTTCACCCCTCCTCCCTCCCCCTTTACAAACACTTTATTTCCACTTCTTCATTTTCTCATATTTTTTTCTTTTCCCTTATTACCCTTCCCCTACCCTTCCCACTTTCCCTACACCTTTAGCCCCTTTCTTCCTATTTCACATCGTCCATTATAACATTAGGATCTTATGTACTATTATAGTTTATTCACACCAGAGAAACTATTCAGTATTTACACATGTGTGACTTATTTATTTCACTAAGGAGTATATCCTCAATATGTAGCCATTTTCCTACAAATGAATCCAAGTTCTCATTCTTTATGGCTGAATAATATTCTATTTTATAGAAAAACCACATCTTCTTTATCCAGTTTCCAACTGATGGGCAAATGGGCTGTTTCCAAGTTTTAGCTATTACAAACTGTGCCGCTATGAACATAGGTGCGCATATATCTCTGTGATATGATTCTTTTAATTCTTTTGGAAAGATACCCAGCAGAGGGATGGCTGGGTCAAATGGAACCTCTAGTCCCAGCACTTTGAGCTATCTCTATATTGATTTCCACAGTGGTTGCACCAGTCTGCACTCCCACCAACAATGGAGAAGGGTTCCTTTCTCCCTACAACCTCGCCAACATTTGTTATTGTGTGATTTCTTGATAGCAGCCATTCTTTGTGGGGTGAGGTGGAATCTCACTGTTGTTTTCATCTGCATCTCTTGAATGACCAGTGACGTGGAACATTTTTTCGTATATTTACTTACTTCTTTGTCTGAGAAATGTCTGTTCATTTCAGATACCCATTTCTGAATCAGGTCTTTATATCTGGGGTGTTGGAGAGAATTAACATGGGGCCGTCAAAACTTGGAGAAAGGAGGGAACTGCTAGTTCTTCCCACCCTCAGTGGTGGGACATATTGTCTCTGCCTCTGGCCACAGAGTAGTCACATGGGGCAGAGGCAGAGGGGGAAGGAAATCTCATGACCATCTAGGCCTATTCATGGCTCTACCTCTTCTCTCCAGTAAGCAGTCTGGCCTCCTGTGACTAGCTTTGAAGCTGACTCTGATGCAGAGGCCCCTGTAATTCCAGGATTTGTCCTTAAGTCACCTGCAGTGTCCACTCCTCTGATTAGCCAGAACCCAGGATTTCCTGATGAGAAAGGATATAGGTAATAGCAGCTCTCTGGGCTTCCCTCAGGACATGTGTCTTGGCTATAAGGCGTTAAGACTAGACACTCTAATGTGACATTCCACAAACCTATTCAACAGCCTACTAAAGTGAAAGGTATCAGTAACATTGTTGAGTGAGGTAGAGAGAAGTTTGACTTTCCCATGTGTTTTGCAGTCTTCTGAAAGTAAAATCAAGAACTAAATGTTTCCTAGGCCAGGTGTGGTGGCGCACACCTATAATCCCAGCACTTGGGAGGCTGAGGCCAGGAGGATTGCTCTGAGTTCAAGACCAGCCTGGACTACATAGTGAGTTCCAGGTCAGTCTCAACTACATAGTGAGACCCTGTCTCAACCTCCCGCCCCCAAAGAGCTAAATGTTTCCTGAACTGACCCAATTGGGTAGAATAAAAGTTGAAATCTGGCCCATCTAGAGTTGAAAGCACACTTAAGTACTTCCTGGGTAAGACAATAAGATAGACAATACAGAGGATCCATAAATTTCAGAATAGTTCAGCTCGTGATTTTTTAGGTTTTATGATGGTGCAAATTGAATATGTATTCAAAAGAAATCATAGTTTGAATTTTGATCTTTCCATGGGCTAGCAATATAGAACATTTTCACTTTCAGAACAGTATTCAATAAGTTAGGTGTGATATTCAATGTTTTATTATAAAACGGGATTTGTGTGAGATGAGTTTATCCAGATGTAGGCTAAATGTTCTGAGTAAGTTGAAGGTAAGCTACACTATGATGTTCAGTAAGTTAAGTGTACAAACTTAACTTTATTCCAGTTTAGGGTAAGTTTATTAGACCGTTACCTCCATTGTAAGTAGAGAAGCAAGTATACAGTACAGTCATTTGTAAAAGTACATGTCCAAGGACATTTAAGCATCCTTATGTCTTCTCCATTTTGAGAATTTTAGAAGGTGAAGCTGAAAGAGGATGGCTTAGGAATGTCAGCATTGAGTGGACAGAAATAAGTAGTACGTAGACAAGGGGTGGGGTCACAACATGAATGTGGAAAGAAGACAGATCTACTGACCTGGAGACACATAAATCTTCAAAACACAAATGGAAGGAGAACAGAGAAATCTCTTCACAAGATGTGCAAGGCATCTTCTGATCACCCCGCCTCAGACACAAAGTTTTATCGTCCACCCATACAGAACAAAAGGAAAGTTGGTATCCATGCTGTTCTCAAGATTTATAGTAGGAAGAAAATTCATGAAATACGGATTCATACACTTATAGGGCAAGGAGATAATCCAGTTCAATCAGCTGGCCTTAGCTGAGTAAAGGATGGCCAAGCTGGTTAAGTTTGCCTGAGGTAAGACAGCCAGTTAGAATCCTCACTGTGTTTCTACATCACAATTTTTTTCAAGGATGTACACAATATATTGTTTTAAATCTTGCTTTTTTACATTTTAGGTCAAGATGGGGTTTATGTTTTCAAAATCTATGAATGAAAACATGAAAAATCAACAGGAGTTCATGCTTATGAATGCTCGACTCCAGGTATGTTTTAAAATAATTAAACTATTATGGTGTTGCCCTGGTTAAAGTTCTAGCACATATTTTTTAGCAGCATGTTTTTTCACACCCCGTTATGCTCACTCTCCCTACCCAAATGCTCTTGGGGCTCCACCCTCAAAGACTAGATGAAATCATTTGCTAATTATCTGGTGAATGGTCTTGTTTAAGTATTCAGTCCAGATACTTGTGTCAAAAGTTCCATACTTAAAGAGATAATGGTTTAGTGTATATTGTGGACAGAATTCTGTCCCTCAAGATATAGGTACTTGTTTTATTTCCAAGGACCTGTGAATATGTTAAGAGTATGTTACCTTACATGGAAAAGGGGATTTTACAGTGTGATCATTTAAGGAGTTTGAGATGGGGAGATTATTCTGGATTATCCAGATGAATCCACTGCAATTATAAGGGGTCTTTATATGGTAAAGAAGAAATGAGGGTGAGGAAATAAAGAGGGAGAGAGAAGGAGAGGGAGAGGGAAAAGGAGAGAGAGACAGAGAGAGAGATTTAAAGATGCTGCACTTCTGGCTTTAAAGACAGAGTCAGTGAGGACATAAGCAAAGGAATGCAAGCAGCCTTCAGAATGGAAAAAGCAAGGGATTAGATCGTCTTCAGTAGCCTCCAGAAGGACACAGTCCTGCCAGTCCATTTTAGACATCTAATCTGAGAACTACAAGATAGTATATTTGTGTTATTTTAAATCATTAAATTCTCTATAACTTATTATATCAGCAATAGGAAACTAACATAGATTGTGAAAACTTAACATTGGGTTATACAATGGATGGATATAAAAGATCAAAACATAGTAGACTGTCAACATGCCTAACATGAGTTATCAAAACAGTATTCTAAAATATTGCAAGTCAAAATTAAGTGTTAAAAATTTGACCCAAATTATTTTCCTGATTTCAGATAGAGATGTCTAGGTTTCTGTAGTCCATTATATACCTGGGAATAAAAGGTCTTACCATTAGGCAGTGTAGCTCGCATTTTAAAATGAGATCTAATGCCAGAATGCCTGGATTTGCATCACAATTCCACTCCTAACTGTCTGATCTGTACTTCAGTCTCCTGATCTGAACACCAGAGGTGACAGCATACTCTTCACAGAGATATTTTAAGGAGTCTAAGTGAAATAAATAAGTCACACATGTGTAAATACCAAATAGTTTCGCTGGTGTGAATAAACTATAATAGTACATAGATTCTAATGATACAATTGACAATGTGAAATAGGAAGAAAAGGGCTAAAGGTGTAGGGAAAGTGGGAAGGGTAAGGGAAAGGTAATAAGGGAAAAGAAAAAAAAATAGGAGAAAATGAAAAAATGTAAATAAAGCATTTGTAAATGGGGAGGGGAGGAGGGGGTGAAGGGAGGGCAGGGACAAGGGGAAAAAATGACCTGTCATGTAAAGGCACATGATCCCAATAGTGAATGTAACTGTACTGTACACCTAAAAATGTACCAATAAATTCAATGAGGAAAAAAATTTTTTTAATTTAAAAAAGATATTTTAAGGAGTAATGATGAAATGTATCATATAGAATAATGACTTCATTCTTTAGAAAAATGCCTTTTACTCCATATTAAATGTTGTTCTTGTTACTATTAAAGACTTATAAGAATGTCCTATGCAATATAAAGATTTCTTTGGGATAGTGGTAAAACTGAAAAGATGGGCAATTGAATTATTGTAACAGAGCAAAATGATTTAGGGGAGACCAAATGTTAGGTCTAGGAATCAACCATATATGTCAGATACTTACAGTATCCTTACAAAGACCTTTAGAGATTACGGTTAGGGTCTGTGAAGACTTGGAGATTTCACCCTGCTTGCAAGCTGACAAGTTATTCTGTTACAGAAACCAAAAGTACCTGTATCAGAGGCACAGGATGTTATTACTCACAGAACAACAAGCAGCCTGATGCTAGTGTCAATTCTCCATGCTCCCCGAGACCCACAGAACTGGCAAAGATGGGCACGGACTTAAATGGATGGGTGCTGTGCACTAAATGGATTTGTCACATTGGGGGAACACTGAACTTCAAAAACCTATTACTTGTATAGTGCGCTATGGGCAAGGGAAGAGGGAGGGGAAGGAGAGGATCTCCGTTACCCCATTTCTGTCGGTTGTTCAATGAAGCCTAAGTAAAGAATGGGCCAAGCAAAGACCAATTGGGCCTGGCTTTCTTGACCTACTGAGCAAAAACAGGCAGGGACATTCAGGGTTCATGGTAATAATCTGATTGACCAGAGGCCTCAGAACTGTTTTGAGTTTTGTCCACTGATTCCAGTGACCGGGTTTTACATAGCTGGCACTGAGGTTGAATAGCTGCAGTGGCAACCAGGTTTCATCTTAGTTGAATCAAAGGTGAACCAGGCCCAGAAATTTAGGAGAGTATCTGTGAATCCAGGTCCTACTGAGCCAGTACCTTGGTTTCAGGTGGTAGAGTGGGGGTAGTTTTTCCCACAGGGGTGGCTACTACTCCTTTATGCAGAAACTAAAATGATACTCAGGTATGGTCAGCCAGCCTATTCACAAGTACATTATTTTTATTTCAACAGCAGATTGGCCCTTCTCTTGTAGTTGGCATGTCCTAGTTGTTGCACCACACAATAGGGATGTGAGGCCTGGGAATCACAAGGCCTCCATGGGGCAACTCTTTGTCTGTAGCAAGAACCCAGCAGCACATCAATAAATCCTTCCTTTTTTTGAAAAGGATGCACTGTGGATTGAATTCTAGTCCCTCAAAATTCATAAGCTGAAATCCTAAGCCCTAGTATCTCGGGTGGCATCCTAAGAGGAAATTCAGACACGGATATGGAGAGAATGCCCTCTGAATATGGAGCTAGTCATTTATTAGCCAAGAAAAGAGGCCTGGAACAGAGCTTTCCCTCATAACTTTGCAAGGAACCAACCTTAATTTTGGATTTCTAGTTTCCAGCACAGAGACAATAAACTTCGTTTGCTTCAATGAGCGTTTGTGGCCCCTCGTTTCCACAGCCCTGGCAGACACCGAGGGAGAATTTGGTGCCCATGTCCAGCAGGTGGTGTTACCATATTAAGCAAACAGCCTCCCTGAAGATCAGCTGTGGTTTTCCTTTTCTCTCCGGGACCGTATAATGTTTCCATAAGACCTCTGGGAGGGGTCAAGGAATTTTTGAATGGGAAAGATCCTCTAGTCACTTTGAGTTTTACAATTCAAGCATGCAACACATCATTTCATTACACATTTATATACACACAGAAGCGGGGTAAGGAGTGCGTGGACATACCTGACAATATCTTGAATTGGTTCAAAGTCCCTCTAGTTTCCCTTCCTCACTGAGAACTTTACTCAAACACTATCATTGGATGCAGATGCCTTTTTATTGTTGTTCCTGGTCAGAACGCAAACCAAAGTTTAACATAGGTTCTTTAGAGATGATATTATTGTTTCAGTCTCCCAGCTGGAGGAGGAATATGAAAGTCAGGGAAGACTTTTTGTCCTTTGATTCCATAACCCAGAATGACAGTGCTTCCTCTTCCTGTGTCCCTGGCCTCTGGAGAGGACTGCTACTCAGGAGTGAGAGTGCCCTGGCCTTCACTAGTGCCACAGTACGGCTCTGCAGGCCTCGGTAACCGGGTCACTTCGGTGCTTAGGACATCCTCTCTCCATGGGACCAAGTGGACTTTGGCACCTGCAGCCAACAGCGCCATCAAAGTTTGAGTCCTTCTTCTCAAAGTTCCCTCAGGCACCCACCTTCCTTCCCTGAATAGCCTGAAGTTGGGGAAGGCTCCAAGGGCAAGAAGGGAAAGCATCTTGTCGCCAGTAAACCAGGCTTTGTATTTATTTTCAGTTTCAAATGGCTTCCTGCCCCTGGGAGGATTTCTAATGCTTCCAGTCTAGCCGAAACCCTTTATATTCACTGCCGACACTATGTATATCTGCTTTTGGGACTCATGGACTCAGCAGCTACAGTCACATCGCACTGCCTTCAACTAAAATGCAGGGCTCGCTGCCCTGCTGTTGTGAAAACACTCTTCCCTTCCCCCAGCCCAGAGAACATGCTATAACCAAAACGCCATTTGAGCAACTTGTTTCCACCCCGTCTTTTGTTGCTGAACTTCACTTAACACATAGGACAATGAGGAACCTCGCTTCACCCTCTCCCCCTCACCACCATGTACCTGACAGCATTTACCACCTGATCTTAGGACGTTTTCTCCTATCCTCTAACCCAGCTGAGGGCCCTGTCTTTTCCTTTCCAGAAAGCCATGTCTCTAACATCATTTCATCCTTGTGGCCCACACTGTCAGGCCCTGTAACGCATCTGGGCTTTTGCCCTACTTGTAAATAACAAATTCTCTTGCTACTGTTTCACAGATGCTGGCAGAAGACTTTATCATCTGCTTTATTATGCCAGCAATCAGCACGTGCTGGCATCCGTTTTCCACACAGGGTGTAGGTGAGCCTAGTTGGATGCTGAGATGGATGCAGTGGGTTTATGACATAGCTGAGAGACACTGAGCTCATAGAACTACAACTTTTATTGTGCGTGGTGAGCAAACCTGCTCTTTGACTAGGAGATGCAATTTCAACTCTGGGAAAATGCCCATGTGTCATTGATTTTGTGGGTTCTTATACTCTCCATCAGAAGAATCAGATAGAGGCACAATAATATAGGAACAAGGCTTTTTATATTCTTATGATCAAGTTCAAGGGACAAAATTCATAGGGGACAGAAATCCCAAGCTGACTGAGAGAAAAGGACAAGAAAGGGTAGTTTTATAGTGCTCCTAGGGTAGTCAAGGGTCTAGTGTTTTGATATCGTTGCAAGTAGAGATGGAATTCCAGTTGGACTTCATTTTACCTGGCATACATCTAACATTCTCACCGAAGGATATGCATTTTACTATGATAATGAAGCAACAGTAACTGTAAGTTACCTTAGTGACTATTCATATATACAAATGCTTTTGCCCCTCACCATTGGGA